GGGGCTGGAAGGGACCTTATAAATCATCGGGTTCGGTCCCCCTGCATGTGGGCAGGAAAGAATGCTGGGGTCAGATGACCCCAGCAAGATGGGCATCTATCATATGAAAGCTGTCTGTAAATAAAAAGGAATCTCAATTCAAGTTGTTTTGGGACTATTGAATATGAGCTTTTACATATCCTGTTTTTTAAATATTTATTAAACATAAAGTAGCTATCGCTTTTCATGTTTTAAATATTTATTTATGAAGTTGTTAATATACTGAAGTGTTTTGCCATTACATTTCTTTTTTAAGAATACATACGGGAGCTGGGGTCATAGATTGCATGAGGGTATCCAGGTTGTAGCCATATTGGTCTAGAGGCAAAAGGAATTGGAACTCATAGTAGAGTTGACATCTTTTATTAGACCAACTAGATTTTTGCAAAAAAATTGTTTAATTGCAATTAAAGAAAATTTTTGCAGAAATCTAGTTGGTCTAATAAATGAGATTGCAGGAGATGCTTGAAGCTAGGGTATGTAGAAAAAAATGCATATGAGCAAAACTCCTGCAGTCGATATAGTGGTTTAATGTTTTGTCCTGATTGTGGTCCTTATTTCTAATGCTCTGGGAGGAGTTCAGCTCTTTTTCAAACTTTTTTTTAATTGCTCCACAGCCTCCCCCCTGCTTCTTATTTGCTTTGCAGATCTTGAAAAGTTTAGGGGGCTTGTCTGGCTTACTGGGTCTCCCATAGCTGTCTTGGTTTTGCGGGCTTTAGAATCACAGCAAAATCTCCGATTTCTTGATGCTCCAATTCATAGAAAATTAGTGTTGGAAGGGACCTCAGGACATCACATCTAGTCCGACCCCATGCTCAAAGGAAGACCATACCCAACTAGGTCATCCCAACCAAGGCTTTGTCTAGCTGTTCCTTAAAAACCTCCAAGGATAGAGATTACACCATTTTTCTGGGTAACTTGTTCTAGTGTTTTACTACCCTCCTAGTGAGATGTCAGGAAGAATTTTCTAACCTAAACTTCTCTTCCTGCAACTTGAGACCATTGCTCCTCGTTCTGTCATCTGCCACTGCTGAGAACAGTTTGGCTCCATCATCTTTCAAACCCACCTTCAGGTAGTTGAAGACTGCTATTAAATCCCCTCACAGTTTTTTCTCTAGACTAAACAAGCCCAGTTCCCTCAGCCTCTACTCAGAAGTCATGTGCCCCAGTGCCCTCACCACTTCCATTGCCCTCCAGTGGACTCTCCAATTTGCCCATGTCCTTTCTGTACTAGGGGCCCAAAACTGACCATAGTACTCCAGATGTGGTCTCACTAGTGCTGACTAGAGGGGAATAATTACTTCCCTTGACCTGTTGCCAATGCTTTCTACCAATGTAGCCCAGTATGCCGTTGGCCTTCTTGGCAACAGGCCAGACTTGGCTTATATTCAGTTTATTGTCCACTGTAACCCCCAAGTCCTTTTCTGCAGCGCTGCTCCCCAACCAGTCAACCCCCAGCCTGTACTGGTGCATGGGATTCTTCCATCCTAAGTGCAGGACTTGGCATTTGTCCTTGTTTGAACCTCATGAGATTTCTTTTGGCCCAGTCCTCCAGTTGGTGTAGGTCTCTCTGAATCCTAGCCTTCCCCTCCAGTGTATCTTCTGCTCCCTCCAGCTTGGTGTCATCTGCAAACTTGTTGAGGGTGCACTCTGTGCCATCTTCCAGGTCACTGATGAGAATATTGAACAAAACAGGCCTCTCAACCAACCCTGGGGGCACTCCACTTGATACCAGCTGCCAACTAGATATTGAGCCTCTGAGCCTGATGCTCCAGCCAGTTTTCTATCCACCTTGCTGTCCATTCATCCAGCCTGTATTTCTTTAGCTTGCCTGTGAGAACGTTGTGGGAGACCGCATCAAAAGCCTTGCTAAAATCAAGGTATACCACATCCACTGGTCTCCCTGCAACCACAGAGCCAGTCATCTCATCATAGAAGGCAATCAGGTTGGTAAGGCGTGATTTGCACTTGGTGAATCCGTGTTGACTGTTCCTAATCGCCTTCTCGACGAGCTTAGAAATGGGTTCCTTGAGGATCTGCTCCATGATTTTTCCAAGGACTGAGGTGAGTCTGACTAATGTGTAGCTCCCTGGATCTTCCTTTTCCACTTTCTTAAATATGGGCACCCTTTTCCAGTCATCTGGGACCTCTCCTGATAGCCATGAGTTTTCGAAGATGATGGCCAATGGCTCTGCAGTCACATCAGTCAACTCCCTCAGCACCCTTGGGTGCATTCCACCCAGCCCCATGGACTTGTGTATGTCCAGCTTTTCTTAATAGTCCCTAATCTGTTCTTTTGCCACTATTGGCTGAGCACCTCCTCCCCAAACTGTACTGCCAGGTGCAGTAGACTGGGAACAGACCTTGCCTGTGAACACTGAGGTGAAGAAGTTATTGAGCACTTCACCTTTTCCTGTGTCCTCTGTCACTTGGTTGCCTCCCCCATTCAGTAAGGGACCCACACTTTCCCTGATCTTCCTCTTGTTACTGACATACTTGTGGAAACTTCTTGTTACCCTTCACATGCCTTGCTAACTGCAACTCCAGTTGCATGTTGGCCTTCCTGACTTCATCCCTGCATGCCAGAACAGTACTCTCATACTCCTCCCTAGTTGTTTGCTTACGTTTCCACTTCTTATAAGCTTCCTTTTTGTAATTTAGTTTACTGAAGAGTTCCCTGCTAAGCCAAACTGGTCTTCTGCCATGCTTGCTGGTCTTCCTGCACATCAGGATGGTTTGTTCCTGCACTCTCCGTAAGGCTTCTTTAAAGTACAGCCGGCTCTGCTGGACTCCTCTCCCCCTCATTTTGGCTTCCCAGGGGATCCTGCCCATGAATTTCCTGAGTGAGTCAAAGTCTGCTTTTCTGATGTCCAGGGTCCCTACTTTGCTACTCTCCATCCTACTTCTCCTCAGGATCCTGAACTCAATCATCTTGTGGTTGCTGCTGCCCAAGTTGCCATCTACTAGTACACTCCACCAATTCTTCCGTGTTTGTGAGCAGTAGGTCAAGAAGAGCACGGCCTCTAGTTGGTTACTTCAGCACTTGCACCAAATACTTGTCCCCAACACTCTCTAGAAGCTTCCTGGATTGCCTGCAAACTGCTGTATTGCCCTCCCAGCAGATGTCAGGGTGATTGAAGTCCCCCGTGAAAACCAGGGCCTCTGATGGGAAAGCTTTCGCTAGCTGTTTGAAGAAAGCCTTATCCACCACATCCTTCTGGTGTGGTCTATAGAAGACCTCCACCACAACATCACCCTTGTTGTTCTCTCTTCTGACCTTAACCAAGAGATTTTCAACAGGCCTGTCTCCAGTTTCATACTGGAGCTCTGAGCAATCGTGGCTCTTTTACATGAAGTGCGACTCCTCCTCCTCTTCTCCCCTATCTGCTGTTCCTGAATAGTTTGAACCCATCCATGACAGAGCTCCAGTCATGCGAACTCCCACCAAGTCTGTTATTCCAATCACATCATAGTTTTGTGACTTTGCAAGAACTTCCAGTTTTTCCTGCTTGTTTCTCAGGCTCTATGCATTCGTGTATAGGCATTTCTCCTGAAGAATGAGAACACCTCCCCTGTTGCCCCTTCCTGCTTGTTGCTTTCTCCAGGTCACCCACTTATATCAGGGCTTTGGTGTCCATCCCACAGTGAACCTAGTTTAAATCCCTCCTCACTAGGTTAGCCAGCCTGTCTGCGAAGATGCTCTTGCTTCTCTTTGTCAGGTAGGTCCCATCTCTTCCCAGCAATCTTCTTGAAACATCGTCCCATGGTCAAAGAAGGCAAAGCCCTGCTGGCGACACAACCTATGCAGCCAGGCATTGATCTGCAGGATGTACCCACTCCTGCCCAGGCCCTTTCCCCTGACTGGAAGGATCAAAGAGAACACCACCTGAACTCCTGTCCCCTTCACCCTTGCACCCAGAGCCTTGTAGTCGCTTTTGATCTGCTCAGGGTCTCCCCTGGCAGTATCATTGGTGCCCACATGGATGAGCAACATGAGGTAATAGTCAGAGGGCCAGATGAGTCTCTGTAATACCTCTGTGACATCTTGGATTTGGGCTTTGGGCAAGCAGCAGACTTCCTGAGATAACAGGTCAGGTCAGCAGATGGATCCCTCCATCCCCCACAAGTTCATGCATTTAAGTCATAAGTTCATACGTTTCATGTAATCCATCTCTGCATATGGGAATTCATGATTTAAAACTCTGAAGCTTCACAGAAGCTGAAAAGTGTGAAGAGAGCTGAGAACAATAGGCCCTGAGGAACAGCGAATCAAAAAGCATATGAAGCAGGGGACTAGTTGGGTTTTCTTTTTAGTGCTGAGTCAAACTTAATAACATCCAGTTCTAACAGTGCTTATGTATAACCAGTTGTCAGCAGCAAAAAATGCCAACAGAATTTGTTTTAGTTTTATTAGTTAGTCTGTGTATAACTCAGTGGTGAGAGTGAGTTTTTGTCTGATTCACAGAGGAGATTTGTGTGTTACAAGATAAGATAGGGAGCCTTGAGCTGGAGGTCCCCACTGGCAGCTGAAATGTGACTGCCATGTGTGCATTGGGTATTTTATTCTCTAACTACAATGTCTAAAATTATTGCAACAAGATAGTTCCAGAGTTGGTGGGATAAAAAGTCAGTCCTTTCAATCATAATGAAAATGTCTTTTTAACTACAAAAAAATGTTAGAAGAATTTTATTTTAGCTTAAAGGGAGGAAAAAAAGAGAAAAAGCCACATTAGCTTAATAGTGACAACGTATGTTGTTAAATCAAAATATCTTGGTTTCGTATCTAGAAATCATACGGTAGGTGAAAAAGGTGTATAGTGAGCCATTGTGGCATATTTAACTGTAGAGCAGTACCATGGTTCACATTATTACTTAAATAGAAATATAATAGAATTTAATACTCACGGTATGCTTTCATGTGTTTTTTGTAAATTTTTGAAAATCCTTTCTTTCATTTGTAGGACCAGATTTTAGACACTAAAATAATTTTGAAATGGACCGATATGAAGATGTGTCAGAGGGTGAAGTGGACCATTCATTCTTTGATAGTGATTTTGAAGAAGCACCAAAGAAAGATAAAGAAAATAGTGAGCTCATAGGAAAAGTAGGTACACGTGTAGCATCATCAGACTTGTCATCAGAAACCAAATCAAGAGAAGACTCCTGTCCTAATGAGGAAAGTGAAGAGAAACAGAGAGCTTTGCTAAAGGAGCAGTGCGTAGATGGCAACACTGTCCATCCTGGGAATGCTTCTTCATTGTCACTTTCTCCTGATTCAGAGAATGCAGGTACCTCTGGGAGAATATCTACAACAAGTAGAATACAGGAAAATGTTCCAGCTGGAATCCCCAAAATAGTTAAAGAAGGTGAAGAAGACTATTACACAGATGAAGAGGATAGTAGTGATGATGGCAAAAAACAAAGGGTTAGACCTAAGTCGGCAAAGCAGTCTAGCGGCATAAAGAAAGTTAACAAAAAATATACCAATATCAGCTCCTCTTCCTCTTCCTCCTTCTCTTCCTCCTCCTCCTCAAGTTCAGATACAGATTGTTCGGATACAGATTCTGACAGCTGCATATCAGATTCATCCCACTCCTCTTCAAAGAGAAATACGTGTACCTTGGCTCTTCTGTCTCCACGGCAAAAGTTCAGATCAGGAATAAAATCAGTGGAATTAAAACCGAAGCTTGGTGACTACACGGAGGAGTCTGAAGATACAGTGACTGACGTTACTCCTCTGTCAACACCAGACATCAGTCCTATCCAGTCTTTTGAACTTGCAGCATCAAATGACAAGAAACTGAAAATAAAACGACAGGAAAATGTGAGCCAAGAACTATATGGTAATTTTGAGAGATTTAAATACAGTACAAAATTTGTAGAGCCTACGAAACTAGAGGGACAAAAATGAAACGCAGTCTGACACCTGTATCTTTTTTACTAGATTCCGAGATTGATCGCAGATATAATCGAAAGGTTTTGCATGATGCTATGGACTTGAATCAGCTTTTGAAAGGTGATTTTTCTTTTTAATATTTACTAATTTATCTACGTAGTTAATGAGTGGGTTTTATATACACTTATCTTTTAAACCTGGGCTCAGCCCAACCAGTACCAATTTTAAAGTTGCTTTGAGTTTTTATGTATGTGAATGTAAAGACCACTCTGACAGGAGTGGAGTATTGGAGTTGCTCCCATAACAAACTCTTAAGGGTAAAGGTGATAAATGAGGATGTCATAAATCCCATAATAAAATTTTGATGTCCTCACATATCTATTATAATTATACTTGAATTTGTTAAGCCATGATGCGTTAAATAGCAAATACTAGTAATTGTCTTTAAAAACAGAAACACTTCCAATAAGATATATGTCAAAGTATAGATAATTGAGACTTTAAAAGGCCAGCAAAAACTACCCAGTACTGTAAATTAGAATGCAAATATACACGTGCATTTGAACTTTTTGTACCCTTGTGATTAACTAAACAAAATTAATTTTAAATAACTAATTACATTTCTACGTTAAAATATAGTAATATCATGAAAACATCTATAAAAATAGCTTTGGCAAGAGAATTGAATTAGCTTTTCCTCATCAGGTTTATGAAATGTCTTTACTGTTATTGGAATAGGTATAAGAGAGTTCTGTGTCTGTCTCACCGTTCTATTCTTCATAATCCTCAGTGAGATGGAGGGCATTGGCTGATCCATGTTTATGTCCATATGGAGCCTAGCAGATTTTTGTCCAGTGGTTTCTGTCTGCTTTTCCTCTTGTGGTCAGGTATTATTTTGCAGTGAGATGTGTGGGCTAATAGTGTTCTCATTTTAAAAGACCTTCTCATTTTAAGGTGGAAAGAAATTGACATAATTGCATCAAGACCTTGACTTACCTCTCTACATATTGTGCTTTTGCTTGTTCTTAGAGCTGATGGTTCTGATGTTGTAGAAGGAACAACAATGTAGTTTTAAGCTGTGATAGTGGTATGAGCACCCTCAACATGTAATGCACTTTGAATCTTGTAGGATTAGCCCATAATAAGAAATCCTTAAAATGTATCTTTAATGTAAATTTAACATCTATAAAAGGAAATAACAGTGTTATCTTTTGGAGACTACATTGAAAGCAAGAAAAACTGAACCAATGATCAAAGCAGGCTATCTTGATTTTAAAAAAAAAAAAAAAAAAAAAAAAAAGTCTGCTAATCCCTGTCAGTGGTCACCAACCAGTCAATTGGGATTGACCCGTTGATCCCAGAGCCTCTTGTGATCCTGGGCTGGGGAAGGGCAGGGGGTGGGCTGAGCATGTGCATGCACGTGTGCGTGCCCCCCCCCCCCCCCAGCCGGTTGCTTGCGGGGGGGGGGGG